CCAAGACCCTCCTTCACTAACAATAGTGCGAAAAGATACATCCGGTTTGCGTGTATTGGCTGAGAGAAAAACATTGAGGTTGTTCCCTTTGCTGTTCATTATGTCCTTAGCTAACATTGTAAGCCCCGAATTCTTGCAAAAATCAGCGAACTTAGACCTAACGCGAGTCACTCCCAACTTAAATGGGCGGAAGTTCTTCTTGATAGCCGCTAAAGCCTTTTCTTTGTATGCTCCCTCAGGCATGACCACAACGCAACCTTCTTTGTCGGCTAGCATTAACGTTAATTTGTGGTTTTTAAAGAACGACACGATGTTATTCAAGCCTTTAAGTCTATCTTGATTCTGCAGTGCACATTTCGACAAACAGTTCATATCATCTTGTAGGTATCTGTCCCGGTCTTGATTGGCCTTCACAGACAAGTCCCTGTTTAGTCCGACAAGTTCATGGGCAGAAATGCGAGGCGGAACGGCAAACTTTGGTCCCTTCCGAAGCCATCTCTCTATTTCTGCCGGAATGTATGCGTCCTGTAGCACCACAATGCGCTTCTGTTCTTCCTTTCTTTGCTTATCAAACAAAACACCTTGAGCAGTGGGTTCAGCACCTTCTTCCACCTCACTTCCGTGAGTACGCCCAGTTGCTGCCTCAGCCATCGAAGGTGTTGAGCAGCCTGCCATTGCAGAAGAAGACTGTAGTGGACACCGCGGAGCCAGTCATGAAACAAACGCACCTGACGCCAAAGTTCCGCCTTGAGAATCTCGCAGACCCTTTTGAATGTCTCCGGAATGGTTGAACACCTCCGAATAAAGCACAAACTTCCTCAGGAGGGAAACCCTTGCGTATGCAGAAGGCACACTTCCTTGCTTGGCATGTGGCCTCGATGATGTTGCGCACAAGTCCATCAATTATTGACACAAGGTCTAACGGGTTAAGAGACAGGCCCACTGTACTAGAAATGTATTGAAAAAGAACTTGTTGTTGGGCTAGTTGGTAGAGCATTTCAAAAAGTTAATAGCGAATATAGTAGGCGGTGTGAGAAACGAATTAGCACATGTTTTAAGACAGCTGTGAGTGAGTCTGCCAAAAGGTGTTACACTTTGACGGAATGGCTTTGAGAAAGATGAAGCTAAGCCAGGTGGCAGCTTGTCTAGCGGGGGAAGCTGTTCATTCAAGCTATAGTGTTTAGATAGTTTCGGGGGTGATGTTTAATATCCTTAATGTTCCGTCTCGAGATACGGTGCCCTTGCTTCCTTGCACTGCTGGTCACGTTAACACGATGACTCACACTGGTGGCTTTTGCACTTCTTGCGTCGATTCTTGTAGTAGGACGAGAATAGTATGGCTTTAGATTGCTCTTGTACACTCGGAAGGCTTCCTGACAATCAGCGTTATCCTTGGGTTGTTGACGTTTTATATCAAGCCTCTGCAGGTGCTGCACGAATATTCTCCCCTTGACCACTTCAAGTGTCAGGTGGTCCTGAGTGTGTGCCTGGCCAATGACCTGGCTCGCAGGTGCTTCAGACTTGAATGAAGATTCCAAGGCCGATGACAGTACTTTGTACGACGAGGACGACGATGCCACAGGATTTTAATTACGCCGGGCTTTGACATCGCCAGGGGCAAGAGTCTCGCCCAAGTTCAGAGGCAGTGGAGGTTCGTTTACGTGCTCTGTGGCCATTCACGGATTGTCGACGTCAATCTAAGCATCGTAAATGATGGCGAACATCAACCTGACGTTTTCGGGGGTATGAGCCTGGCGCATGACGCCGTTTCTCGAAACATCGCTGCAGCAGTCTCCAGACGACTGATCGATCATGGCTTATCCCACTTGGCCAAAGTCCTCGTTTGCGCCGGATCCCTGCATGGTGCTGCAGCTGTGAAGTGTGGCGCTCACACATCCAGCACTGGTCTCTGGCATCAGGCGCTATTTCCTTGTGGTATTTGGCGGCGTAATAGATGGTCGTGGAGTCCATGTACTTGGTTGAGTGAAGCATGTAACAGTGCTGCAAGCACTTCCGATCGTCGACTTGCTTGGGGGCAGACGAACCGGATACCTTACCGCTAGCGTCGGGCTTGAGGAACATGTGGAACGAGTAGTAGGGCTTCACATGCTATTGCTTCTCACTTGCTGCCCTGCAGGTATAGGGCACAGCGCGACGGGTAGTACATGCATTCACCCTCTTGACCTAGGAAGTAGGACTGCCTTAGCAAGCTGTGGTTCAGGGCATGAGAAACAAGGCCCTTGTTGTCAACGCGCATGGTGAATCGGCCGTTTTCCTTGACAATCGAACTCTCCACAGCGCACCTTCCAAACAAGTACTTGCATTGAAGCATCGTGAATTGCATGGAAAGCAACATGTCTTTCTGCGTGTACCTAAAACTCGCTAGACTTGTACTTGATGGAGTCGGGAGACCAAGGAAAGGCGAAGTCGCTGCCTGCTGTAGTGTCGATGGAAGAAAAGCCGTGAGGTCGGCCGAAAGTAAAGTCATGGCCTGCTGAGACATTGATGTGACGGGAGTCATGATGTCAATCAAAAGTGATGCTATGGCCCGTTGCGATGTAGGGGTGAGAAGCTGGTAGTAAGCAATGTCGCAGCCGGCTCCGACGTCCTAGTGAGTGTGGTTGAGAGGCCGTTCGTCGGCGAAGTCCTCGATTACTCAAGCAGCATTGAAGTTGATGCGATTGTCCATCTTTTCGCTGTGTACTGTGAAAGGGCTTCATGCAGCTTTGAAGCTACTCACGTGATTTCGGTGTTGCCGTATCCTTTCCGGAAAGCGTCTCACCGATGTAAACGGCGTGGCTATTAGTGCATGAAACCTTGTAGACTAACCTGGCAAATCTCTCTTGGCAGCAGGTCTTTTTGGCTATGGCACGAGTTGTCAATTCTAATTTTTCATGCCCACCTAGATACCCTCCTTCCCAAACACCCTTGGCCAGTTGCTCGCAGATTCCCGGAATGTATAAAACCGCGAGCCGGGATGGTTGCTTGGGTGAGGTTTCACTGTTAGTGCCACTTTTTGTAGAAGAGGGCATGCGGGGGTTACTTTTCACGTCTTCACATCGCTGGCATACTCGGTGAATAAAGCTGGTGTACCCATTGTTCAGGAAGTCGGTGGCGATCCCTTTTTCTGTTTTTTGTTTTTATTTGGAGCTGGAGACAGCCTAGCGTGCCTCAACAGCGTCTTGACAACTGATGCCTAGTGTGAGGTGGGGTAGTTAAACCTGAAATGTAGATACTGCCCGGAGTGCGCTGGTTTTCCATAAACCGAGAAGCTCAAACGTTGTTTCACCTCCACTTTCCTTTTTTTCCCCGTTTTACAAAGCACATCCAGAAAAGAAGGAACGTGGTTCTTTTATCTTCCACGGTGAACAGAGTCACCGGCTCGGTTGAATTTAGGTGAGCTAGAAAACTGTCAATATTAGACTTCTTGGTATTGTAGAAGACGTCATACACATATTTCAAAAACGTTTCTGGGGGTGCGACAAATGTTTCCATGGCTTGTTTTTCGATGTGCTTCATCGTCATGTTTGCTGCTGTGGCTGAAATGGCAGCACCCATAGCAGTACCATTAGCTTGTTTGTAGAATTCACCTGTGCCAGAGAAGTATGTATCATTGAGGCAGAACTCCATCAGCCGACACAGTTCATCTGTGCTGAGGTTCTTGTTTTATTGCAGGGCAGTTCGAGCAACTGAAGCCCGCAGTCATACGAGCGCACTCGTGAACAGAGAAACGACATAGAATGACATGAGACTCCTGTCACTGCAGATAGAATGGTTGATTCTTTTAACCTGGCGCAACCCACCATGGGCAACCAGCCAAGAATCGAGTGGTGCCTTGCTATATAAAATAGCTTGACTGTAATCTCAAAATTTTTGACCTACGATTAACAAAATGGACGAATTTCTCGCAGGGGTAAGCATTTCTCACAAAGGAAAGCTACAGGGACGAAGCTTCTGCACATGTACTACTATGCGAAGTAGTCCGGTATGTCATGCTTTCCGTGCCGTTGTGAAAAAGTGATGGCTGTTCACGACCAATGTTTCATATTGACGCAGACGGCACTTGGCCTTTGTGATACACGTAAAAGGCGCAGCTTTCTCACCCGTTCAATAGCGTGAAGTGACAAAGAATAAATTTAAATAAATATGAATATGTTACTGGTGTGAGCTGTGTTACGTGTCAGAGAGCTACATGCAAAATCTGAAGACAGTATTTTAGGGGAGAAGCTCTTCTTAGTCTAACCTTGTCCTGCGTCAGGTGTAACCGAGAGAAGAGAAAGCAAACAGTATCTCCCGAACAGTAAAATAGACGGCGCTGTGTCATTGAAGTACATACAAACTAAATCCTAAATCGCGCTGTACCGCTACTCTCGGATTGGCTGCTACGTGGGTTGTGCCTGGGTGCGCAAAGGAGTGCCTCTCTCAGTCTCCAGAATCGTCACCGTACGTAGCAGACCATTGCTGGGGCGTGGATGAAGGAGAGTGGCAGGCGCAAAGTGCCGCCGCGCCTCTGCTTCATTGGTGCCTTGTTAGTGGGGCATGGACAAAGTTAAGTGGAGAGCCTAGACGGCTCGTGCTCGTTGCCAGACAGGCAAACAGACAGACAGACGGACGGACGAACAGACACACGGCAGACCGACGGACGCTTTTCCCCACTCATCATCACTCACTTCATCGATAAGCTATTTTTTTCTTTTCTCACGTAGAAAAGAAGCACACAATTGTACGACTACAAGTGATAGCAGTAGGATACGTGCGATTTGGCTCTGTAGCCTTCACTGCAATGCCGAGAAAAGTCTGCAACTATAGTGGCGACACGATCCTGTGTCCGAATAGCATGCGAAGTGTCCATTTTCTGAAGCATCTTTGAACGTTTGGAAGGCCATAGTATCCCGCCGCAGAACCGTTTCCGCTTAGAGGCGCAGATAGAGCCGTCTTGACTCTGGGTGATTTTTGAAATTTCCAGCTTTTAAAAACAAAACAGAAGAACATTATGCATCTCATGTAGTGCAAGGAGTCTCCTTAACACATAATTTATTGCATGGCAGAAGCGTAGGATCATGCCAGGCGTCAAAAATGTCAAATAAGCAACGTGTGGGTGCTTTAAAGACAAAAAACACATGAACAGTGAACAGCAGCATAGATCTGCGTGTTGCCCAATGGACTCGCAGTGGGCCTTTCGCCGATTTGCAAAATGAACAATTATGGTATAGTGTGCACTGAACTGAGCTACCAAAGCAGTGTACCAAAACACGTACCAAAGCAGGCTAGCAATTCAGGGAATGGGGACGAGGCTTGATTATGCTATCGCGCTCTGCTCTTTGAAAGAGAAGCTCAAGCGTCCCTTTTTTTTTTTGTTTTTCGATGAATCCGCCAAACACACAAGCAGAGTAGTAGTAGGCCTTGGAATGCATGGAATGTTATTTTTCATTATAGGTAGCTTGAGTAATAAGATTATTGTACCTGGGACTCATGGCGTCGTCAGGCTCATTCCAAAATGTCCCCCTCATGGCGCACAGTTGCTGATAACACCGACATTTTTTACATTTTCATAATTAACCTTTCAGTCGGACTGAAAATGTTATTTGCATTAGGGTCCCTTTAAAACAATGTTGGCTGTAACGCCTTACAGGTAACAGCGTTACCATGGTGACTTGTTGCTTTTTTTCAGTAGCCTAACATACTCCCTGCCACATCTGAATTATAGTGAGTAATGTACTTACTTTACAGTTCTTCAGTAGCGTTAGGTGTCACGTAAATTTTTTTTTTTCAAGGATGCCGGGAGTTTCACAAAAAGCTCCTTTGCTGCATAGGTGCCTCTATTGCAGAGCTCGTTCGTACATTCTTTTTTCGCAGTGGCAGAGTGCAGCCATCGTTACCATCCAAAGCGCCCGTCGGGAGCCTATTTAGCGTATCTGCAGAAGCACTCGTTAAAAGGCGAGGCAATTTTTCCTATGGCAACTTCGAAATGCACCGTTTTCTAAATTCTGCCTTAAAATCCTTGAAATAATCAAGCACTAGTATAAACTTTCTTTTCAATGTTGTTTGAGTCTTTCCATTAGCCTCTGTGAGTACGTGTTTCAATAGTTACTCAATTTTTCCACGAACGAGGCTGACCTTGAACACTTTTACTCAAGTATCTTAACTTTTTCGGCAAATACACAGCCTAAAGGAAAAACCATACGTACACAAGTATCGTTCCCCAGAACTAAATGGTTTAGGCATAATTTTTTGTATGTTTTAACATCTGCCTTTAAAGGCACATCGTGACTTCTGAATTTGTTGGGTTGCCATGTTTTTTTTATTCAAGAAGAGCCCTGTTGTTGAAATCTGAAAATTGATTTTTTTTAATGTTACACTGAAGAAAATGCATTTATCATGTGCCAGACTTAGAAGCTATTCCATGCAACCTAAAAGCAACCTTAAATCCCTAAGCTATAGCGCCAAGCTCGGACACATTCGGGCAACTTCTGGTTAAATCAGTATTTCACGTAAAGTTGTTGCTTCAGCTATAAAATCTATATTTCAAATACTGATATGAACTTTACTAGACTATTATTTAGAATGCGAAATTGCTATTTAAGATTTATGCTGCCAAAATGCAGAGATTAAATATTTTTTACCACGGAGTAACAGCTGAAGTAACGGGACATTACTTTTTTTAGTAAATATAACACCAAACGTGCTACCTTTTTCAGAGGTAACATAGGGCAGTGACGTTATCTTTTGTTGGAATAACAAGTAATGCATTCAGTTACCTTTTTAATTCAATTCAATTTCTATTTTTTCAGTTAATACATGATGGATGGTTTCATTGAGTTAAAAGCTACACAATCAGCTTCACAAGACCCAACGACCAGACTATACAAAATTATACAGTATTCGGCAACACCTACAACACTGCTTTAAACAACAAACTCTCACTCTCACTTTTATTCAACAAACTCTGCTCTCTCGGCTACACTTCCTCTTCGAAGCCTATAGGCTCCTCACAATTGTAGCTTTTGGATTTTATGCACGCGGGAAATGTGGGCCATGAAGTTGTTCCTTCGTGAAAAGGTTCGATTGCAGTAAACACAGGAGTAGGGACGCTCTCCTGTGTGAGTGCGGATGTGCAGCACAAGGGTCTGTTTGATGGGAAAGGACGCATTGCAGTAAACACAAGAGAAGGGACGCTCTCCTGTGTGAGTGCGCATGTGCGACAATAAGTTCGGTTTCCGTATAAAGGATGCATTGCATTGAACACAGGAGTAGGGACGCTCTCCTGTGTGAATCCGGGTATGCTCAGTGAGGTAATACTTAGTCACAAAGCGCGCACTGCAGTGGACACAGGAAAAACAACCCTGTCCTGTGTGCTTGCGAACGTGTCTCAAAAGATTCTTCTTCTGTTTAAAGGATGCATTGCAGTGAATGCAGGAGAAGGGACGCTCGCTCGTGTGAGAGTGCATGTGCTGATTGAGATCGTATCTAGTCACAAACGACGCACTACATAGCACACAGGAAAAGCAACGCTCCGCTGTGTGGAGGCGGACGTGTCTCAAAAAGGTACTTTTACGCTTAAAGGATGCATCGCAGTGGACACAGGAAAATTGACATTCTTCTGTGTGAATGCGCTTGTGTGCCACGAAGTCGGTTTCCATCACAAACGATGCATTGCATTGGATACAGTGAAACGAACGCTGTCCTTTGTGGTGGGTGAGGATGTGTTTCACGAGGCTCTTTTTCTGCACGAAGGATGCATTGCAGTGGACGCAGGAAAATGGGCGCTTCCCAGAGCCAATGCGCACGAGGACATCGACGGCATCTTTCCGTGAGCAGGTTTGACTGTCGTGAACACAGGAAAGGGGACACTCTCCAGAGTGAGTGCGCATGTGAGCCTCTAGCTTAGAGTCTTCGGCAAATGAACTAGGACACATGTGGCACTGGAAGGGGTGTTTGCCTACGTGTCTTCGAAGGTGTCTGGCCATAGCTGACTTATCATGTGTTACATAGAAGCAGTGTTCGCACGAATGCAGTCGACGTCGCACAGGCGCCGATGAAGAGGACTGTTCCAGATATGCAAGAGACAAGAAACCTGCAAAACCACCGAGAAAAAACAAAGGTAATAAAAATTGTGTCATGAGCTAAATGAAACTCTACTACCACACAAGGTTGCCAACCACAGGCTAATTAGCCTATTGTAGGGTATCTTCATAATTTTTCTAGCACGGTGGCATAGTAGTGCGATAACACAATTTTTTTTTCAGTTGTAGGACAATTTGTACTTTTCACTGATCAGTATTGGCAAACTAAGCAGACAATCGACAAGACATCCCCCCGAGGTTAATATTCTTTAATACATGCAGAAGCTAAATCTTTCCTTGGGCAAAAACTCAAACCGTCTTAAGGGGAGATGCTACTCGAAAAACGATTTTCTTTATTAAGATGCTGAATTTAACACAAGTTGGCATGCTAATAGAGTTTTTTCTCCTCTTTTCAAATATGTCATTTATTTTCAAGTAGATTGCTTGGTTTTCTTTCTGCAGATCGGATACTCCAAAATTACGGCCACTGTTATGCAACAATTCTGACCTATAAAAATTTGAGATAAAGCATGCAGATATAGCTGACTATAATCCTTTGGAACTGTAGAGTGCAAAAAACTATATGAATTTTGTGTGTAAAAAGGTGAAATACAATGATAAAATAGAAAAATTTACTATGGCTATAGTTGCCAAGGGCTTTCAATGTTATGTAATTTTTCAAAAACATAATCAAGCAGCACTGACAATCTAAATAGATACTTGCACTCTATGGGCCTTCATCATGCTATGTGCAAAATTTCATAGAGGTATGACAATTCTAAGCATATGAATTAGCGTGTATAAGAAGCACAGATCACACAAAACTGCAAAAGGAGAAAAACACATTTGAAAGTTTGAAACCTTTTTTTTTATCACAGAGTTGTTAGAAATGCATAATCTTTGGCCATAATGTTCAACAGAACTTTGAAAAGCAATGCAAGTTACTAGAACTGTCCTGCAGCATAGGTTGTGCTCTCACGGTCCTTGCGAGCACTCTCTTCTAGCCGTGCCCTTTTCACTCCACGACCACGGTGGGCCCTTGCTTCTGCTGTCAGACGCTCGGACATTCTCTTGATGTGCCTCGCATCGCGGGAATCACTGAAAGTAACTAGATCTCTAGATGGCAGTATGTTGAGCTCTTCCAGGATGTGCTCGAAAGTAGCATGACCCTTGTTGAATCACAGGATTGCCATAGCTGCGGCAGTCTCGACAACCGTTCGGGAGACAAACTTAGTCTTGGGGCAAAGTAGCCAAGTTTTGCTGTTCAGGGACTCCGATGCGTTCTGGGTTTTCCCTTTGATGCATCGAGCAAGGAGCTTCTCATCCGTTAGCCACTTATAAATGGGCAAAACAGCCAATCCCTGTGCTTTTGTCAGGAGAGGTGTGTGGCGTGGTGCAGCTTCACCAAGTGCTTCAGCGCGTTGATGTTTGCACCACGACTCTGTTCCTGCAGGGCAAAACTTGTGGCTGCCAGCATTGTCAGTAGAGCATGAGTGGAAGTACGAAGCCCATACTGCAGTGTACATATCCCGTACACTCCCCCTGTTGCTTGTTATGGCAATCTGATAGTATGTTTGGAGCTTCTGAATGGCTGGCTCTTTCATTTTCTGCCCTCGTGGTAATGGCACATGCAGCTTCCGTAGCGCGGCGCCAAGTCTCTTGGCCACATGATTAGTGCAGTCTTCCTTTTCTATATTGACAGCACCATAGACTTTTGACTCTGCAACTGCACTATATGCTTTGCTGTCACCGTCACTCAAGAATGTCATGAAATGCAGTGGGGTGTCATAAGTCAATGTTCTTTGTCAAATGCGCATTGCAGCCTCCGTTTCCATGGCATGGGAAGAACAGTCTGCATTTTTTTCACAGACTGGGCCATGGAATGCCTGCCACACTTCCTCGTCTGGGCCCATATCCTTGTGCCTACTGCATGTCAGGCAGTAATTTGATATGACCTCGAAGTCTAAGCAGAGGCCAGTATCTAAGGAGATAACTGCGCCAATCCCGTTGTGGCTTTTGTGGCCCCTCTTCTGCCAAGTGCCGTCGAACATAGCAGCCACATCAGTTTCGCCTGCTACTTCTTTCGTCAACTCTCTGGATCGGCGCAAGTTTTCACTCACAGCTGCAATGGCAGCGGTGTGCACCTTCTTTGCTATCGAAAAAAATCCTCGGTAGTGCATTGGCTTTGGGAGTCCAATAATGGAGCAAAATCTCAACAATTGCTCATGCCCAATGCCGACAGCGCATGCAGCCACCACCGCCTTCACATTTACAGTGAAACTATCTCGGGAGCTCCCACTGTCGTACCGTTGGCTCACTCGGCTGCTGCCGTCCGTCGTAACACGCAGTGACGTATAGGAGTACGAAAGAACAGTTGCTGAGCATGCGCTGTTTTCGCAATGAAGTTCGAGGAGCGACGAAAGTCCCTTGCGCTTTTCTGCCGGCTCCCGAACAGCAAGTTTTTGAATACCGCAAGCAGGGCATGCCGCACCTGCCACAAGTGCCGTCAGCAAGAGGGTGTCGCACAAAACTGTCGTTGCACAAACCTCATCGCGCTGTCTTTTGTCTTTTTCGAAAAAGCCGAGCTTCTTTTCCGAAGCACTGACGAAAGAAAGCACAGCGTGAATCCCTTCATCACAGCCACTGTCGCTCGCGCAGTCGTCGATGCCGCCGTGAGGCCTAGCACACGTAGGCACGTTCTCGTTCGTCGCCGTCGTTCGGGGCGCTTTACGCCGCTTTCCCTTGAACTTGTGCTTCGTTTGAAACTTCTGCGGCCTCACGTTGCACTTTTTCGGGCTTGTCCTATCGGAAATATGCGTAGACGCGCAGAAAAGCAGACGGACCAAATGCCGATGGCCGCCACCAACACAGCTCACAATGACTCGGTAGCCAATGGCGATGCGGCTTAGGGTGCGGCGCGTTTCGAACCGCTCAAACCATGTGATAAAAAGGCCTAATTTTTTATTTTTTTTTTGCCCACGTACAAAACTGGCGGTCGTCGGAGCTGTAAGAAGAAGGCCCGACGCAACTTTCCCAACCGACCGCGATGGCGGGCGGCACTGCGACGGGGAGCAGCGCGCAGTCAAAGATGGCCAATATCGGCGCAAATTCACGAAATTTTGAGCCACCACGATGCCTTCATACACATTTTTTTTTGCATTTTGCGGTTCGAATTTAGTTTTGAAATTTTCACAGATGAAAGAAGAGGGTTTGAAGATTACAATGCAATAAAAATCAGAAATACGAGAAATTTCGCTAAAAACGCGATTTTTCGACTCGCATCTCCCCTTAATTCACATCACACTAGCAAACGGTAGTCAAGAAAGATAATATGTCAATCTTTCGAGGGTGCGCTATAAATACGATCAACAGACCCAACGAAAAAGGAGGTAGCTACCGCCTCTGTGTGTTACAGGAGTGCGAAAGTTTTCTTGATGACAGTAAAAAGAGTGTCTCCTCTTTAAAAACAGGTAAAAAAATGTGCTTGGCAAAAACCAAGATTATATTATTATTGCTAACATTATACCATTAAGGACTAAACTTAGGTGAATTGACATTGTATTTCTATAAAACCTTATAAATTAATAGCCCCAATCTTTGTGCCTTAGTGCCAGATAACCTTACTTTGCCTTTTTTTTTGCTACCCAAATATACTTCACCACTACCTTTCCAACGTTGTCTCCAAAACTCTGTTTGATGTAGACTAGTGCCTTGACATGAACACAAGTCAATGCCCTCACAGTCATTTAAACAGGTGCCATCGTTTTGTTACCTTTGCCCCGCATGAGCCATTCTCTTCTGTACTTAATCTTGTTTTACAGCTATGCATGATGATATATGGTGTTTTTTGGCGCAAGGGCCATTTGTTGGCCAAAGAGCGCCATTTCATCTTACTAAAAATATGGACAATGATTGTGATAAGCGGCTGTATAAGGGCCATAAAATTCCTCGCGTTAAGGCGGGTAAGAACATACAAGTAATAAAATAACCATGCCGTGAAAGATGTGTGTGGTGTGAATGATGACAAAAGTTGGTGATAATAAGACGATGGTGGATATGTATGGCATTAGCACGAGTGCCTCACTCGTTCATACCCTTGCGTCCAAGGGCCGTGAGGCAAGTGCTTTCCTGTGTAGCCACCGCAGCAAAAACCTCTCTAGAGAGGTCGTGCTACGGTATGCCCGGGTATATAATATGAAAATTATGAATTTCCTTTAAAAACGCTAATAATGATTTGTGACTAAAAAGCGGTTCCCTATCGACGAACATTGCAGGGTGTAAAGGTATAAGTTGTCGGTAGGATAGTGGGAAGTGGTGTCTTAGAGTGTCTAAATGTTTACATTGAATTAAAACGTGAAGAACTGTTAATGTCTCACCACATTTATCACACAATGGTGGATCACCACCGGATAAAAGATGTGTGTGTGTCGTGTATGTGTGTCCTATCCTGAGTCTTGTTAGTGTTACCTCTGTTAGACGCGATTTTGATACTGGTGGCCAATGGCCAAGGTGTGGCTTGATAACGTGTAGTTTGTTTTGTGTGTGTGTATCCCACTTGCTCTGCCAGTAGTCCCTGAGGTTTCGTTGAGAGACGGCTTAAGATCAAGGGCCGGATTGATATAGATGTAATGGCGGTGCTCTCATGGACGGATGCAGTGAGCTGATCCGCCCTCACGTTGCCTTGGATCTCACGGTGCCCTGGCACCCAGCACACTACAACATGTTGTTTGTGTGTGTAGAGTGTGCACAAAATGGAGTAAAGTGAAACAAGGACTGGGTTTTTTTTGTTTTTTAAGACTGTGCAGAGCCGTTACCACACTGAGGGAGTCTGTATAAATTACTGCTTTTTGTATTTGTAATTGTTTGATGTGTTTAGCTGCCACCAGTATCGCGTAAGCTTCCGCTGGGAAGATACTTGTGCGTGGATGTAGAGGGCCAGCATCCGAAAAGGATGGGCCGACAGCAGCGTAGGACACAGAGGAGTTAGTCTTGGAGGCATCTGTGAAGAACT